TTGACCGCCTAAGAAATTACACAGAGTTCAATCAGTATGCGTACGTAGTATACATCAAAACTTTTTTCAGAAAAACAAAATTAATATTGAAAACAAATTTTGAAGAGAAAATAACAAATTATGACTATGCAATGAGGCTGAAAAATTTAAATGAAATGATAGAATTTAAAAGTTAATTCAATGTTGTTTTTCTATTTTTTTTCTTTATTTTTTTTTTTGCTAGATATACCTTGTAATTGGAAGAAAATTCAGATTCTTTTCTCTTTTTAAAATTATTTTATTCAGGATGTCAATATAGAAAAATTATTGAAATGTATTTTAAGTTATACACAAAGAAATAGTTTCATTTTTAAAAAGTTTAATAATGATCAGCGGGCGTCACACGCACCAAGAAGTCTCCCTAAATTTCAAAACTTCTCCCTAAATTTCTCTGAGGGAGAAGTGAAGTCTCCCTAAATTTTGGGTCTAGGTTTGTCCCTGAGGATATCATTTTTATTCAATGAATAAATTCCAGTATTTCACGGGTAAAAATGTAATAATGTAGATTCTAAATTGTTCAAATCATGACCCCCGGGGAAAGGCGGGGCCACAATGGGGAATCAAAGTTTTACATAGAAATATATAGGAAAAATCTTTGAAAATCTTCTTCTCAGGAACCACTGGGCCAGAAAAGCTGAAACTTATATGGAAGAATCATGGTATAGTGTGGATTCTAAATTGTTGAAATCATGACCCCCGGGGGAAGGGCGGGGCTACAATGGGGAATCAAAGTTTTACATAGGAATATATAGGAAAAATCTTTGAAAATCTTCTTCTCAAGAACCACTGGGCCAGAAAAGCTGAAACTTATGTGGAAGCATCCTGGGGTAGTGTAGATTCTAAATTGTTCAAATCATGACCCCCAGGGGAAGGGCGGGGCCACGATGGGGAATCAAAGTTTTACATAGAAATATATAGGAAAAATCTTTGAAAATTTTCCTCTCAAGAACCACTGGGCAAGAAAAGCTAAAACTTATGTGGAAGCACTCTGGGGTAGTGTAGATTCTAAATTGTTCAAATCATGACCCCGGGGGAAGGGCGGGGCCACAATGGGGAATCAAAGTTTTACATAGGAAATCTTCTCAAGAACCACTGGGCCAGAAAAGCTGAAACTTCTTCTCTAAAACCGCTTGACCAATTTCAATCAAATTTGGCACAAAGCATCATTATGGTAAGTATATAATATAAATTGCAGAAACAGAAGACTGATCTTTTTTCAAAGCGGAGAAAACCTTGAAAATGTAGAAAAAGGGGGGTCGTTTTTGAAAATCTTCTTGAGAACTACTTGGTCAAATTCAACATAATTTAGCATAAATATTCCCTATGGAAAGGAAAATATATCATGTATTCATCAATCTAGTGAGTAATGTGAAAGAGTTATGGGAGTTTATGCCAGGTAAACAATCGTTTATGATGGGGAAGACCAATTAAATTTTTGAATGTTTTTAATTTGAGGAACTGAGCGCATTGAGACACAATTTTATTCTTCACGTCTATAGGTCCCCTGGAATTTTTGAAATAAAATCTTCTTCTCATATAGTTCATTCCACCAACTGGTATAATATCGAACAAGAAATATAAGTTTTAAAAAATAATATTATTAGTAAGTATAAGGAAGAAAATGTACAAAGATTATATTTTACTATTTTGAATTAAAACCTTCAATAATTATATAATTTCTAAGGAAATAACACAGTTTTTATAATTATTACAAAATACAAAAAGAATTTTTTTTTGAACATGTTGATTTTACTGTCATCATAAGTTTAAATTGTTAAGTGTTATTTTTAAAGACAATGAGACAAGAACTTTAAAATGGGTAATAAAACACTTAATTGTTATGAAATGTATGCATTAAAATGATTTAAAAGCCTTTTTCTGATGGACTTGTTTTAGAATCCAATATATCGCATATCGCTTGAAAAAATATTGTATCGTATCGAAATTTTTGGCTCAATACACAGCCCTAATATTCTCTCAAATATTTTGATCGCTTTATAAAGTGGGGGGGAGGGGGAAGGGGGGGGGGGCAGAACAAAAATATAGGGAATTGGAAATTAACAGTGTACCCCTACAAAAAGTTAGTTTTCTATCTTGCATAGGATTTTCTCATTTTTGGTAAAAATGATATTCCATAAAAGTCAAAGATTAAGTGTATGCAAAAATAAGTGTAAAATTCGAATACTTTACAATATCTATTTTTTAGACGGGGTCACGTGACCCCGTCTGTTAGTTTACTGTCAGAGACCCTCAAAAAGGAAGCTGTGGTGATAACACATGAATTAAAACTACGCTTATTATGAAAGAGTGCAGAAATTGTTTTGATCAAAATATAAACATTTTGTATCAAACTGAAGAAAGTGATATGAACTTATTTCTAACTCAAATTAATGAAGCATTTTGTAAATGTAAACTCAAAATATTAATTGTAAAACACACTAGTAAACAAAGTACTCTCCTGCGTAGTATTACGACTGCGTACGCATCATCCATTGTTTACTTCCGGAAAAATATTAATTCGGACCAGGTGAAATTCGGACAATTCAAAAAGGTTTCTAGACTTACCAATTATTGAAATTTCTACTTCAAATTAAATGAAAAATGCGATTTTATATTATTCATAATTTTGTTTTTAGCTTGTTAATAAATTTTTTTTTATCAAAACTCGTTACAAAAATCACATTTGTGAAATCTAGCATGAAAACAAATTTGACCCCGTCTTTCAGTACTGTCTTAGTACTTTGATTTGTTATTCTACTGAGGGGCCATATGGTACAATATCCTTTTAATACCAATATAAAGTCATTGTTGCTCAGGTGAGCGATGTGGCCCCATGGGCCTCTTGTTTTCAATAAACGGTACGACAGTGATCACTTTGTATATAGTATATCATAAAAGTCAGTACATATGTCCCTGAAATGTATGGAAATATAAATTACCTCTTATATAAACTGATTCTTTTTCTATTACTTTTATTGACTCAAACAAGACTGACTGTTTCTTTGGTTATTTTATTTCAAAAATCCAATTATTAATGTATAATTTTTAGCTCACCTTAACGAAGTTGGGGGAACTTATGTAATACCCTTGGCGTTGGTGTCGGTGTCTGCGTCCCAGGTTAAGTTTTTTGGAGCAGTTTTCTTTTTAAGTATTTCTATGTCCTATATTGATTAGACATGCATGGAAGATGCTTCTAATGTGTTTCATTGTACCAGTCAAAGTTTCAGATGCTGCAATTTCAGCAAAGGAATGGCCAGGTTCATGTTTTCGGAGCAGGTTAACATTTTTGGTGCAGTTTTTGGTGCAGGTTTCATTTCCAAGTAACTATAAGCCCTATGTTGACCAAACTTGCATGGTTGATACATCTAAGGATGCATACTACTGGGCTTGCTTTGGATGCTGAATCTGACCTACATTTTCCGGATGAGTGAACAGGTTAAAGTTTTTGGTGCAGGTTTCATTTCCAAGTAACTAGAAGCCCTATGTTGACCAAACTTGCATGGATGATACATCTAAGGATGCATATAATCAGGCTTGCTTCGGACTACATTTTCCGGTTGAGTGAACAGGTTAAATTTTTTTGTGCAGGTTTCATTTCCAAGTAACTATAAGCCCTATGTTGACCAAACTTGCATGGATGATACATTTAAGGATGCATACTACCGGGCTTGCTTCGGATGCTGAATCTGACCTACATTTTCCGGTTGAGTGAACAGGTTAAATTTTTTTGTGCAGGTTTCATTTCCAAGTAACTATAAGCCCTATGTTGACCAAACTTGTATGGATGATACATTTAAGGATGCATACTACCGGGCTTGCTTCAGATGCTGAATTTGACCTACATTTTCCGGTTGAGTGAACAGGTTAAATTTTTTTGGGCAGGTTTTATTTCCAAGTTACTATAAGCCCTATGTTGACCAAACTTGCATGGATGATATGTCTAAGGATGCATACTACTGGGCTTGCTTCGGATGCTGAATCTGACCTACATTTTCCGGTTGAGTGATAAGGTTAAAGTTTTTGGTGCAGGTTTCATTTCCAAGTAACTATAAGCCCTATGTTGACCAAACTTGCATCGATGATACATCTAAGGATGCATACTATCAGGCTTGCTTCGAATGCTGAATCTGATCTACAATGTACATTTTCCGGTTGAGTGAACAGGTTAAAGTTTTTGATGCATAATTCATTTCCAAGTAACTATGACTTCTTTTATGACCAAACTTGCACGGATGATACATCTAAGGATGCATACTACCGGGCTTGCTTCAGATGCTGAATCTGACCTACATTTTCTGGTTGAGTGATAAGGTTAAAGTTTTTGGTGCAGGTTTCATTTCCAAGTAACTATAAGCCCTATGTTGACCAAACTTGCATGGATGATACATCTAAGGATGCATACTATCAGGCTTGTTTCGGATGCTGAATCTGACCTACATTTTGTGGATGAGTGAAAATGTTAGTTTGTGCTGAATGTATCATTTCCAATTAACTATGAGCCCTATAATGAGCAAACTTGCATGGACGATACATCTTAGGATGCACACTAATGGACTTGTCAGATAATAGACCAGGTAAAAGTTATGGGTGCAGGTCAATTACCAAAAAACTTGAAGGCTTATATAACATTGTATAAACCAAACCAAACTTGCACAAATGTTGCATCAGGAGATGAAAACTCTCAAATTTGCTTCAGATGCTTAATTTTAATTACATTTTCATGAACAACTAGTTTAAATTTTTTATGTAGGTCTATTTCAATGTATTCAGTTGCTTAAATATTTTCATTTCTGGAATGTACACTTTTTGTTGGTTAATTGTGTGACTTTGCCTTACTTAAAGACAACATCCGTTGAGGTGAGCTCTGTAATCTCTGATTACCTATGTTTTTACACTTGGATAGGCAATTTTGTCAATGTAATTTAGATTTTAGCCATAATTATGTAAAATTATAATTGTAGAAGCAACCAAAGCACTGCAGAAAGTATCTGGAGGATCAAGAGAAAAAGAAAGTGAGACAGGGTGGGCAGCAAGACTTGCTGTCCATTTTTTTTTACCATTATCATTGGTCCAGGACTATATTCTAGACAGTGGTAGCACCCATAAAGTCTTGGAGTGCCCCTGCTCCTGCAAATCTCGTATAAATTATGGTGACACATCAATTGGTAAGTTGTACAATTTGTAACGTGGTCCACACTTCATTTCTAAAGTTTTATTTGGTATTTAGGCTACAGTATACAGTATACAATCAGTATTGATTGTATGTGTTTGGTTTTAAGTAATATTTCACTTTCTAGTACATGTTACCCTGTAGCAAGTTGTGTTTTTCTCATTTATGTTATAGGTATATTATGCATCACAAATGTGAGTGAGGTTCCAGATGTTATTATTGTGGATGCCCATACCATGTTTTTGCTTTTTAGTATGCAGTGTTATATATCAAAATTAAAATAAACCTGGTATCAGCCTGCACTTTACTATACTTCATAAAGTGAAATTATTTTTTCGTATATATAACATGTGACATTTAACCTGTTAGTGCATTTTTTGTGTGCCGTAAATTGCAGATTTTTACTATGGGAGGCACTGTAGCTCCCAGGTCATCCATTTGAATTTTTTTAGACCAGGAGCTACAGATCTGCATCTACAGACATACCAGTTTACAGTGTCATGATAACAGTTTGATTTGTTCTTGAAAGCAACATTGTGAGTGAAAAACAAAGATTATTCATTAAAATAAACCATTTACCGTAAAGTCGCGTGTATAACACACACTTTCTTAGCCAAAATTTTATCAAAAGTTAGGGTTGCGTATTGTACATAGAACCAAATTTTTACCCCATTTTTTCAGGCCATGATTCTGGATAACAAGGGAGTAGTGACTGCCGATATCGCATTTTATGCAAGTTGTATGAGTGTATGTATACTAAACTTACTGTGTCAGAAATACCTTATTCTTAGTTTTTACCAGCCGCCAGGAGGCGGTCGGTTATTTGATATGAAAGTTTTAGGTCGCCGTGCATTTCTGCGGAGTTAAAACAATTTGAATAAAAAATATTTAACATTCATGAAATAGAATATTAAGAAAGAGTGTCTAAATGTTTAACAAAAAACGCACAATAATGATGAAATTAAAATTTTATAAAAAATGGGTTAAATGTTTCATCCAATCCTGATTGACAAACTCCGACGAGACTGAAGTGCGGAGAAATAAGCAGACATGTTGGGCATAGTCTAAAGCAAAGACCGCGTTATATACATGTATAAACAAATTTACTTTCTCTACTTCAATAGGATTTGCTGTATATATAATTTAAACTGACGTGTAAATATAAATATACAATGTACATTTAATACGGAAATTTTTCAAAAATATGGCTAAATCTTAATTTATTATCAGACAGAATATTAGGAGATTTTTTTTTCCAACAGACAAGGATAAATCGCGTTTTACAATATGCCAAGTCTTTTCCCGCCACACTTCACACCAAAACAAGATAGAGAAGAAATGTAGTGGCGGATCTAGAGGGAGTTTAGGGGTTTTAACATCCTCTGAGCGAGCGAGGAGCCCCACATAGTTGTTACGTTTTATTAAAGTTAAACTATCTCTAGTTAGGTAAGTTTAAACGTTAGTTTAACTTTTAATGGAAAAAGCTACTTTAACATCAAACTTCCGCCAGAGTTCGCCTGTACCAAATAAACTGCGTGCAGGGACGCAGACTATGAGTAAGTGACTTATACATAGTACATGTAGCAATGTACATGTATTGTGTACTGAAGAAAATCCTGGAATGTCGCATTCAAATGTTTAATGTCACAGGATATATTAATTAACAGATAAATATAAGAATTCAGTTTCTAGTTGTTTCATGAAAGAATCAATTAATTGGTTTGCGGCTGATTTTTGACGCTTGCGTCAATATGTTTCTTGTATTTCCTTGTTTTGAAATATTTTCCCTCTCTCACCCCTATTCCTTGCATCAAACAAGTTATTGCCAGTGTATTCGCCATTATGTAGGCAGCCACCTGTTGACTCTGCACTTGGTCAATGTTTGTTTCACAATTTCTGGTGTCAGAAGCATGCACATGTCTTGTGTCAGATTTCACTGGATATTCTCAAGCAATTTTAGTAGTGGTGTTTCGATTATCGCCGACATCGCCGAATCTATCGCTGAAACCCAACCGATTTCGATTAATCGGATTGAAATTTGAGATCGATTAATTGGTAAAACCTGTAAATGTACAAGTTTACAAAGAACGAACTGTTGTTGACACGAATAGTCGAATACACTAGCTACATTGGCAAAGATGGCGGCGCCCTGTGTCGCAGACAACGAGGACAACCAGCGAGAAATACTTCCCTACCCCGGCACTAAATCGAAGTCTGCCGACGAAACAAAACTTAGACATGCAGGGCCGTCAAATTTGGACCGAATATCGGACCCATTCCCAATGGCACAAAGTGCTAGATTTTCCCAATTTCATACTTAAAAATTCCCCAAAACGTGTTTTCTTGTTTATATCACCTAATTTTCCACACATGCATCCTTTATTTGATCCATTTAGCAGTAATGCATGGTTGATTTTAATCTGCAACATCCCTGTCATGATCGTTTATTTCTAACTCGAATTTCCTCTGTCATGGAATAGAGATCTATAGATAGGTCATACGTAGATTGGGTTGGAGAACTTATTTACATTATTTAACAAGGATAACCATTATGAGTTAGTTCATAAAATAAATAAATATATTTTTAAGTGAATTATAAGTTAAAATAAACTCTTGGATACTATCTATTTCATTTGCATGTGTTAAATGTCCAGAAAAAAAGAAATAAATTGTAGATCTAGGCAATTTTATGATATTACCTTTAAAAGGAAAATTTTAAATAGTAACTTAATAATTTCAATAAAATTATTCTTTATAATCTAAATTTTTGATTTATTTAAGATGCAATTAAACAGTAAGAAATACCCCCCCCCCCCCCCACATTTTTCAGTCTCTGTATTAGTGAAAATTTAAAAAAAATGCCTGCCTAGTAAGTAAATGTTTGATCTGTTAAATATAGATTTTATCAGACCTTATGACTGATGTCCTGTAAATTTTGGCTTTTCAAGTATACTTTTCAAAGTGATAAATGGCTTTCATTATTAAATATTTTGCTTGGAAAGGGGGGGGTGTTAATTCATGAAAGTATGTTTAAAATTTTCCCAATTTGACAAAAATGTTGAGGATTTTTCCCAAACGGTACTGTGACAGCCCTGACATGTCAAGAGCCGTTTGCAAACTCTGCAGGCGAACGTACGCCAATAAAGGTACTACATCGACTTTACGCTCTGTCGTCCTTGGTAAGAAGTTTGGGAAAACGCTATACACGCCCCTTTTTTTCACCAGGTTGTTATGTATTTTGTTAGTTACAAGTAGTTAGTACTAGTTACTAGTTAGTAGTTACCTTGTTATTGTAATTGCCAAATTTCATGTTAATAAGTTGTTAGTTACATTGAATAGTAAAAAAATAAACATTTTATAGAGTCATATATCCTTTATTTCACATATGTTTGAAAATAAATATGGAAACCGATTAATTCGATTAATCACTAAAATCGGACTCCGATTATTAACCGATAATCGGTTTAAGATTTTTTCCGATTATACAACACTAAATTTTAGAAATAACGATGGCAGACATTTTCTACGATACTTTGCATCTGTTGACAATATCCACAACTATGCGGAGATTTCTCCGACACTAACCTCTGCTTTGAGATTTCGACGAACATGCTCTGTTTAACAGTGGAAAGTGAATGGTAAAAGAACGTTCTCAAATCGATATTGTTTCAAAATTTCCAGAACTTATCATTAGCGAAGATCATGATTTGCTATACTGAATAATGCTATGAATAATGAATAATGAATAATGCTATGTTGATAAAACAAACCGAAATAGATGGTGTGATGTCATAGATTAAAGGATCACATGAAAAAGTTAATTTTTGCTTCATAAATTTTAAAAGCCTTTTGAAACTTAAAAATAAGGTGTGTAACTTGCAAATGTTTTCCCTTATATATTTCTGCATAAAATCATTATGGATCAAGAGGTCAAAGTAGTGCATGAATAATCTAGCTAGGTCACTACTTTTTCTATGTGCTCAAACTAACCGACTTGTGCTGAAACACACATATTAGATATAATGAAAACATAATTTAGGCATAAAAAATAAACATATCTGTATTTTGTTATCTGTAGTTTTATTCATTCATTTTCTAAAAAATATAACATTAATGGTGTGGGGAAAATGATTCAGGTAAGACAGGCTTGTAAACAGAATAATATTTATGGATGGTCATCGAAACGAGGTGTTCTTGATAATTACAATCGCAATTTGTCAAAGGAGTTAATTCAGTTAAATTTATTTCTGACTTTCTTACAAGCCTTGATCAAAACCGCAAACGCAGTATCACAGACCTTTCGTGTTTAGTCCATTCATGGATCACTGTCAAATTTAACTCCTTGTGCTTCTATGTCCGTTTTGTTCCATAAAAAGAACTTAAAAGAACTTAGAAGTTAAAATAGCTTTCCTATATAATGTTGGAGGAAAATCATATTGCTTTTGAATCTGATTCTGTGATAGAAATTCCCCTGAAAATGCCTAAGTTGACTCTAACTCAACTTTTGATCGCTTTGTTTCCAAATTTCCAACCGCTCTGCGACTTTAACAGAAGTGGTACTATTCCGCCAAGCTTCAATCATTTTTTTTCAATTGTACAAGTGAATTTTCTTTTCTGTTTCACTTTATTATAATAAAAAAGGGTTGTCTTGTCAAAGGAAGTGTCATATTTATTTATCATTATAATCTAATACTTGCAACATTGTTGTACTATTTTTAGGTCACCTGAGTAAACTCAGGTGACCTATTGCTATCTGTTTTCGTCCGTCGTCGTGCGTCATGTGTTAACATTTGAACATTTTCAGCTTCTTCTCTGCAACCACTGAACCAATTTCAACCAAATTTGGCACAAAGTATCTATGGGTGAAGGGGAACAAAAATTGTGAATTTCATGATCCCTGCCCCCCTGGGGCCTGAGGGGTGGGGCCAAAACCACTAAAATTAATGCAATCTTTAAAAATCTTCTTCTTTACTCCTGGACATCAAGTAGTCAAACTATTTGCATGATTGTAATCAGCATTGAGTCCTCTACCAAAATTGTGAAATTCATGGCCCTGGGGTCAGGGGTTCTAGTGCTAGGGCAGGGCTAAATAAGTATATAGTGAAAATGCATTATTTCTTTGAAAATCTTCCTCTCTGCTCCTGAGTATTAAATAAACCAACTAAGTACATAGTATGATAAGCAAGAGTGCCTCTACCAAAATTGTGAATTTTATGGCCCCAGGGTCAGGGGTTCTGGTGTTAGGGTGGGGCTTTATATAATAGTGAAAATACATGATTTCTTTGAAAATCTTCTTCTCTGCACCTAGGTATTAAATAAACCAACTAAGTACATAGTTATGATGAGCAAGAGTGCCTCTACCAAAATTGTGAATTTTATGGCCCCAGGGTCAATGGTTCTGGTGTTGGGGGGTGGGGCTCTATTGATTATATAGTGAAAATACATGATTTCTTTGAAAATCTTCTTCTCTGCTCCTAGATATTAAATAAACTAACTATGTGCATAGTTATGATGAGCAAGATTGCCACTACCAAAATTGTGAATTTTATGGCCCCATCGTCAAGGGTTCTGGTGTTGGGGGGCTCTATTGATTATATAGTGAAAATACATGAATTCTTTGAAAATCTTCTTCTCTGCTCCTAGGTATTAAATAAACTAACTAAGTGCATAGTTATGATGACCAAGAGTGCCTCAACCAAAATTGTGAATTTTATGGCCCCAGGGTCAAGTGTTCTGGTGTTGGGGGGGGGGGCTCTATTGATTATATAGTGAAAATACATGATTTCTTTGAAAATCTTCTTCTCTGCTCCTGGGTATTAAATAAACCAACTAAGTGCATAGTTATGATGAGCAAGAGTGCCTCAACCAAAATTGTGAATTTTATGGTCCCAGGGTCAGGGGTTCTGGTGTTAGGGCGGCGCTCTATAGATTATATAGTAAAAATACATGAATTCTTTGAAAATCTTCTTCTCTGCTCCTGGGAATTAAATAAACTAACTAAGTACATAGTTATGATGAGTAAGAATGCCTCTTCTAAAATTATGAATTTTTTGGCCCCAGGATCTGGGGTTCTGGTGTTAGGGTGGGGCTCTATTGATTATATAGTGAAAATACATTAAATCTTTGAATTTTTTTTTCTCTATCTCTGGGTATGAAGCAAATGAACTACCTATATAGTTATGATGAGCAAGGGCCCTAATCTTGCAGAATTGTGAATTTCAAGGCCCCAGGGTCAGGGGTGGGGGGGGGGGCTTTACTTATATACTGAAAATGAATTAATTGTTTGAAATATGCTCCTTTGTATTTATAAAACATTTATTTATTTTTTGATAGGAATTTTAAGGGTGCCTTTTAAAAATTTGTGCAATGTGTGGACCTAATGTCAGGGGTTTATGTCACATTGTTAGGGGCACTACTGATTATTGCTGAATATTACTGATTAGTTGGAGTGCATTTTTGTTCCCCTACCCTGCGTATGGGTATTCAGTAACCAAGCTAAGCAACTGCTAAATGTAGTTATGATGATCAATGGTGCCTCTTTCAAAATTGTGAATGCCATATAGCATCTGGCTTAAAACATGAATCAAATTCAATACACTGTAACTGGGAAGTTGTTGCATAATGCTCAGGTGACCTATAAGGCCCCTGGGCCTCTTGTTTTGTTACGTCATCTTGATCGAAGCGGCTTTCTAGGTCATCACAAAAGAGAAAGTATGGAGCATTGTTATTGTCATAATTTGTAAGAAATGTAAATATAAGAAATAAGGTATCATTTTTGGATGTATATCGGGATATAAATACGGGTTGGTACGTGATCAAATCTTCCATAAAGCCCTTCAGGCTAATAAGCAATAAACATATGTAATGATTTTGTTGCAATAAATAAACACAATAATGCAGTTGGTTTGGTCAAGCATTTTAGATAGCACGTGTGGTGGAATTGTTTGTAAACAACCATACCATAGGTAATCTTGTAAATTGAAATAAATAAAGTATGTTTTATTTTTATAATTAGGGACACACTGTTGATGTATTCAAATTATGAACCTGCGAAAATTGTTCAAAGACTGTTTATAGCAGAAAGAAAATAATTTATATTTGAACTTTGAAATTTCTTTTTTTGATTCTTGTAATCATGATGAGTTATTATATGATAAATGCATAACTACCTATTTTATAAGGAAATATACTGATTTTTGTGTTTAAAGCAACACAAATTTAAACATAATTCATTTACTTTTTTATTCAAATATTATTTGATATATGACTATTAGTACAAAAATTCAAATTATTGATATCTTTCTATATAAAAGAACATGTCAGCTCGACGCCTTTGTGGCCTTTCCGGCCTTTGGTTTTATTGTTATATCCATTATTTGCCATTTATACAAAGGCAGTCGGTTAAGATATAATTATTAACTTTCATGGTTTTTAGTTAACTTAATATGGTTTATACATAGTCAGTAAATTCTATCACTTATAAACCATATTGGGTCAACTACAAACCATGAAATGAATATTATCATGAAACATGAAATGATATTGTGTTATTTGATATGATATCCTATCATGTAATATGATATTGTATCAAATCATATTTACATTGCAGGTCATCCCAAAACATGGTTTGGACTTTTTGACATAGTGATTGGAAAAACTTTGAGCCATCGAGAGAGAAATAAGAGAAGAAAAACTGAAACTGAAGTACACATAGCAGCTACTGTAATTCCTGAGGAGCCTGTTGAAGAGTCTGAGTCATTACTTGAAAGTTCAGAAGATAACCTCTCACAAATTGAGGTTAAGTTTGAAAGCCTTCATAAGTTTTTTTCACAGATTGCCTCTCAAAGCATAGTTTTTTCATTCTATCAGAAAAAATGCAATTCAGCTGTTAGTATTGTGCCATCCATTGCAGTGAGCAAAACTCATGTGCAGTTTCATTTTTATGACTGTGAGAAGGACCTTTATTTTTTGAGTCGGGAAATGCCATTGTTTTCTGAGGATGACAATGAATTACTTCTGGAAACCGTTATTGCAACATGGTTAGTCTTAAACTATAGACATCTGTTGTCTGGACCTACAGAGGGAATGGTTAAGGGTGAAAAGTTTGGTTTTCATTCAAATGTTTCAGATGAAGTATTGAATCTGTACAGAAATGAAATCAAAATGGGTATAACTAAGATTAAAACTGAACATTTGGATCTTAAGAGTGGATTGTATTATCAGGGTGTTATTGTGGATGCAAGTGACACCTTAAAACGGAAAAAGAATATGAAAATGCAGCAGAGTTGAAAATTAAAAATTTTCAACTCTGCTGCATTTTCGAGTGAACTTTTCTGATCACCCATTGTCTGTTATCGGTCCGTAAAATTTTTCCACTGGGTCTGCTTTTAAAATTTTGTTTCAACTTGGGGTTCGAATTTACTTGGGATTTGTTTTTTGGGTCACTGAATGCACTGAAGTGTGAAGCAGGCCTGTCTTTTATCTTGCCATCTTACTGCCTGTAATTCCTGCCCCTTTTATATTCAAATACGCATGTAGCGTCTGCTTTCAGGGGCATACTTCTGATTGGGGTTTACTATCTGTGTTCACTCTGGTTTTATTTTTACCCCTGGACTAATACTGGGGCCCCAAGAGAGGTCCAAAGTTTGACATAAAAATATCTAGAGAGAATGTTTAAAAATGTTATTTTCAAGAACTACAATGCTACAGTTTGTGAGATAACTATGCAAGAATCCTCAAAAAGTGTAGATTCTAAATTGTTAAAATAGTGACTCTTGGACTAATACTGGGGCCCAAGTGGGGTTCAAAGTTAAACATTAAAAAAAAAAGGGAAAATTAAAAAAATCTTCTTCTCAGGAACTACAATGCTACAACGCAAGCATTCTTAGGAAAGGTAGATTCTAAATTGTTAAAATAGTGACCCCATGACTAGTAATTCAATGTTTAACCTCGAAATATATTGGGAAAATATTTAAAAACTGAAATAAAATTATTAAATGAACTGTTGTTCAAGTGAGCGATGTGGCTCAAAGCTCCCAGATGGTGTGTCCTTGGGAAGAGGGTGTGCAGTGACCTTGAACCTTGAATAAATTTAAACTTTTGGGAAAAATATTGTATAGCTATCTTAAGCTTAATCGTACCATTTAGTAATGTCAATGAATTATGGATATGCAGTGACTGTTGGATCAAATTTCGTTATTCTGTGGGTAGAACAAAACAAGCAAAACTTTTTTCAGTGAAAAGAGTCTCTTTCAAAATAAACTTTTTGTACTTTGCAGTTATATGTCCTTTGCTAAAAGCGGGGCCAATTTGAGATTGTAAGTATTAACGATGTCTAGTTACTTTATATATTTTTTACATTTGGAAAATTAAAATTTTTAAAAAGTTAAATAGATACATTATATTTATGTACATGAGCGTAAAAAGAGAGTAAAATTTACTAAATGGACATTATTTCTTATTCTTATTTCATTTTCTTATTGTTTATATTAACATCTTTCTTTAACTAATTAATAAACTGATTATGAAATTCACTAAATTACTGTAAATGTACAAAAGTACGTTAGCTAAAAGAAACAGCCAAATCGTCTTCTGTGAGACTTTGAGTCTGGCATCGTCATTATTATTTCGTGCAGTCCGGGATTTTACTTAGGTCGCGGTAGGTTCAGACCAATCGATAAACAGGGCGTGTCAATTTCAGTCCTGTCACTTTCAGCCGCTTTAGATTTCGACCAATTGATAAATGGGGCGTGTAGATTTCAGTCTGGCTGTTTCTTTAGAGCTATGAATAAACTATAAGTTTCCGTAAGAAATAGAGGAAATTATGCTTGGTAGATGTAAATATAGAGCTATGAATTAACGATAAGTTTCCGTAAGAAATAGAGGGAACCATACACGGTAGAAGTAAAAATTTAAACAAATGCTTCTTTGATGATTCATTCGGGATATGAAGGTAGTGATCATTGCAGAAAAAGTTACATAACACTCTAACACGGGTTATGTATTTTTTCTGCAATGATCTCTACCTTCTTAACCCAAATGAATCATCAAAGAAAGCATTTTAATGTTTATATTAACATATTTCCTTTAAGTAACTAATAAACTGATTATGAAAAGTTAGTAAAACTCAATGAATTAATTAAATGTAAATAAGTACGTTAGCTTAAAGAAACGGCCAAATAGGGCGTATATATCAATTTCAGACCTGCCAGTTTCAGCCGCTGAAGATTTCGACCAATCGATTAAATTGGGCGTTTAGATTTCAGACTGGCTGTTTCTACAGAGCTATGAATTAACTGTAAGTTTCCGTGAGAAATAGAGGAATTAATACTTGGTAGATGTAAATATTTCGCTATGAAAATGCCACAGGCATACAAACTTATACATTGTACTGCATTTATGAACAATTGTTCATAAAATCGGATGCTATATGAAATTTTTCAAATTAGATTTAAAATGTTGGACACTTATAGCATATACGAGGGGCGTTCAATAAATAATGTCATCAGGGCTCGGAAAGAAACAAAAATCGCTTTTCTATGATTTTGTCTTAATGATTTAACTAAAATATTCTCTTTTAATTAAAAGACATGTCCGTAACATTTTTATTCAATTTCTAATTGTTTTTAGAACACAGTTTTGAGTATGACCCTTCGTATACTGGAAAATGGCAGATCCTTTGATTTGCTGTACTTGTTTTTTTCTTTCTGAAAGGTGTTTTCCTAAGTTTTGGAAATGAAACAAGTCAAAGATTGAAAGATCTGGCGAATATTGTTGATGTGACAAAACATTAACTTTCTGTTTACGCCAAAATTCCTTTTCTCTTCATGCCCTGTGGGTTTGGACGCTGTTAGGAAGAAATTTAATGTAGTGAATTCCATATTCTGTTTCTTTCCTCTCATAAACCTTTCAATTTTTTGGCAAATATTTTGCTTACTAGACTCCTCCAGATATTGAACTGCCTCCCTATATATGTATTTGAACAACAAAATCCCTAATATTTAAGAAAATAGCGTATAAAACTGTTTTTGTGTTCTTGCAAATTTTTGATCTTCTTAGGCCTTTGCAGTTTTGTCAAGTACATCTTATTCTAAATTTGTTTTGAAGGTTTAACGCAGAATGGATTGAAGTTTCATGATCTGTTTAAATTTCAGAAAAACGTGGATAAGAACAATTTTTTATTTTTTAATAATAATTATTTAGATTTTCTACACGCTCTCGTTTTCACTATATTTATAAATATATGGTGACATTTGAGTATTAAACTTTTTTACCATCAAATGTTTCTTTAAAACAGTGTGGACTACCCCCGATATGATGTCTATCAAATTTGCTATGTAACTTAAAGTCAATAAAATGTAATATGTGATAATTTGTTGAATTATCGCTAATATACATCGGTTGATGTATGACCTTGTTGACAAGGAGGGTACCCATTTTTAATGCCCATTATATAATTTTTGTTAATTGAAATCCACCTGTTCATGTATGTATGAAACAGAAATAAGTTGCTGTAAATTTCACATATTTCGGTTAATATATTTTTGATTAATTAACAAGTTTTACAGCCCTTTAATGACGCGTTCAATTTTACTCTAATTTACTGATTCTTGACCATTCAATTTTAACGCAGTGTCTCGAGTAGCCCTTGTTTTCCAACTTCCCACAATGAAATTATGCGATGAAAAGTGGTCACATAAACTGTTATCAATTTGTTAAAGATTTAATAATTAGAAAAAGTCAAGCTTAATGTCATATAATTTCTATGTTGTATGTCATGGAGCTGATGACATTATTTATTGAACGCCCCTCGTAAATTAAAACAAGCAACAGAAAGATGAGACATCCCATTATTCCATTATATATAGTTAAGCACAAAAAATATGGTTAGTTTCAGTTCATGTGTGAGCACAAGAGCAGTCGGCTTACGCCTGTTCTAGAATGAAATTTATTTAAAATACAAAGCGCGGTGCTTTCTTAACAATTGTTGCCATCTAGCTGATACCAGATACAGAAGTTTTAATGTGTTCCGCACAAGAGTAGGGAAACTATTTAGGTCTCACAACACTATTTTTCCGAAGGTTCACGTCAAAACATGGCTGAGACAAAATAATTCCCGAATTCCCCTTCGTTTTAAGGGGTTTTCCGCCAGCGACAGGCACTGTACTTTTTATGAGATGAAAAACAAGATATGTGCAAAAAAACGACGGCATCCTAACATCCAGAAATGTCTTAAACTTATTAGAACCTTGAATTGTTACTGGGTTCTATTAAGACATGTCTGGATGTTAGGATGCCATCGTTTTTTGGGGTTTTTTTTGCACTGGTAAGGGTAGACCACATGTAGGTGACCCTGATAATTTCCCAAGGGTAGAGACCTTTGATTTTTTCCAAGCCCGATGTTATGAGTTCCAATTTTATTATTTACAGAAGTTACAGCAAATGCATAGATGATATAATCTAGACATGATACCATCATCATATTTTTACAGAGAAAGTGAAAGGCCCCTAATAGTTGACCCTCTGAAATTTTGCCCCAAGGGTAGAGAGCTTCAAGTTTTAAGTTCCCATTATATTATATAGATATGTTACAGTAGGCAGACGTTATTCAAAGTAATCAAATCATGCGCGGTGGTGGGCTGAATTTTTACAAAGGAATAAATAGAGAAAATGTCTTTCAAACCTTTTTTCTAAAAATGTGAAGCAACAAAAAGTTTTCCATAAGGAAAAATTAACGCTCTTTTCATAAAAAAAAAAAAATATGTCTCAGCAAAACTTCAATATTTCAAGAATATGTATAATGCAAAACAAAAGTATTATTACTGCTTTTCCAGTTTTTTGAAATGTATGTCAGTGAACAGAAATGTTGTGACCAGTAGATGTCTACCGTTGTCTTTTGGTGTTTTGTTTTTTTTTTTTGAAAAATATTTTGTTGAATGAGAAATGTACAAACGTGATTTATAAATGTATTAAAAAGCAATAAAGTTCCCACTTCAATTTACAAATGGAATGAAGAGCTGTCTCTACATGGACTTAATTGTTTACTGTATACAAGATGTGTTTAAAGTTTGTTTTAAATTTACTTTTGATTCCTCACTACAATGACCTTCATTGAATTCTCCCTGAATGTTACTACTTAAAAAAATTAAAATCAAAACTGATACCTGTTGTAGATTTTGTTGTACTGAAAATAGAAATTATACCGCATGTGTTTGTAATGTGTGAAAAAATATTACCTCTGTGGAGGAAATTTAGCTTGCAAAAATGTACACAACAACCTCGAATATAGAGCTCGTTTTAATGTTGTATAGTTGATATGCCATGAAATGGGGACAACAAAGTAATATATTGTGTTGCAAACAGGATATTTTTTTTTCAGGCGGCCCTGAATATTACATTTGTAAATTGTTACGGATTAAGTTAAAATTTTTAAGCATTGTTTTATATTGTGTCAAATAGCTTGCATCCACACATATTTATTATAAAATCAATGCATATTACTAGATGTAATTCAGATAAAATATTTTTGGATTTTAGTGTTTGTTGTGGTCAATAGATGAACAATTTAAGGTTTTAATTTTTTGTAATTTTTCATGATCTCATTGTTATTGAATTAAGAATTTACCATATACCTTTGATTGGCTGTGTTTTAAAAAATATTTATGAATAAATTTAATGAATTGCTTATTTACATTATCTGAGACATATTTCAATTTTCCAATTGACATTGGCAGTGTTGTAAATTAATAAATCTGTATCAAGAATAAATCCACTTTCATCACTTGATTTGGCTTTTAAGATCATTTGAGTCAACAGAGTATCACATGCTCTCTTAATTTGTCTGTTCCAGTACATTGTCTTTAATTTGTGTTAAGATTTTAACATTTACGATACATGTCAATTTTCTTCGTAAGGATTATTATAACAATAGTATTGTATTAGTATAATTTTGTACCCTAATGATCAAAACCTTCAATAGAACATTAAAATACCAATTGTTAATACACTGTGATGCCATTCGGAAGATATGGCATAACAAAGATCAAGATTAACAAAATGTTGAAGCTTTAATTGTGTATTTACTATTCAGTTAAAATATGGACAGTAAGCTTGCAAATAATACACACAATAACATATTGAATACTTTTAATTGATGGTACATTTTCAAAGTCCAGATAAAAAGAACAAAACTTTTTTTTCTATGTGTTTGATAATTTAATAGTGGGTTTGAATCCATTTTAGTAAATTCATGGAGAGCAATGCAAATTAAAGTTTAATTTTTAGATCACCTGAACTGATTTATTGAAAATTTGTTCATATTTTTCAAAAATCTTCTTCTCAAAAACCATATGACCTGAAAAGCTGGAAGCATTCTCAAGTAGTGTGGATTCAAATTTGTTCAACTCGTGATCCCTGGGGGTAGGGTTGGGCCACAATGGGGTTGATGGAATTTTTACATTGGAATATATTGAGATAAATCTTTAAAAACTTTCTCCTAAAAAACCATTTGACCAGAAAAGCTGAATAGATTAAAGTTTGTTCAAATCATGATCCTTTGGGACTGGTTGGAGCCATAATGGGGAAGGGGTCGAATTTTTACATGGAAATATATAGAATAAAATGTTTAGTCTTCTCGGAAACCGATCGGCCACAAAACTGAAACTGCTGTGGAAGCATCCTCATGTAGTGTAGTTTATAGTTTGTTATTCATGATCTCCTGTGATCGAGTGGAGCCACAATGAAGGATCCAATTTTTACACAGGAAAATATAGAATAAAGTCTTTAAATATCTTCTTCTAAAAATAATGTGGAGTGCCTAGACGAGCAGTAAGTTTAGTGAAAGCAACCTTATATAGTGTAGATTCAAATCATCAAAATCTTCAGGAGAAGGGTGAGGCCCTATTGGGGCTCCAATTTTACAAAGGAAAACATTTTAAATTATTATTTTAAAAAATCAAATGTTTTATTCCATGGTTATACTAATATGGAAGCAATCTGACAAATTGTTAATTCTCTAAAATTGTTTAGATTTTGATCCCTGGAAAAATCAATGGCCGCACAAGAGATTTAATGTTTGATCTATGTTTATATCTTATATATAAAGAATTGTGTAAGATTTCATGAGAAATGCAATGCTGATTATGTGACACATGCATTACATATTGGTCTGACAAGGAAGTTCGATTTCTTTTAGTTGTTGATATCTGTATTATCTGTTAAGTCATTGTCCTTTCCACACACCCAATCAAATATAAAATCTTGAGGTTTATTGATTTTAAACTTTATCTTCATTAATGGGTAGATAAAATGTGTTCTAGAAATAAATGTGACAATACAAAAAATAGTTTTTAGCTCACCTCAACGAAGTTGGGGGAGCTTATGTAATACCCTCGGTGTCGGCGTCCCAGGTAAGTTTTTTGAGCAGTTTTCTTTTTAAGTACTTCTATGTCCTATATTGATTAGACATGCATGGAAGATGGTTCTAGTGTGTTTCATTGTACCAGTCAAAGTTTCAGATGCTGCAATTTCAGCAAAGGAATGACCAGGTTAATGTTTTTGGAGCAGGTTAACATTTTTGGTGCAGTTTTTGGTGTAGGTTTCATTTCCAAGTAACTGTAAGCCCTATGTTGACCAAACTTGCATGGATGATACATATAAGGATGCATACTACCGGGCTTGCTTCGGATGCTGAATCTGACCTACATTTTCCGGTTGAGTGAACAGGTTAAAGTTTTTGGTGCAAGTTTCATTTCTAAGTAACTATAAGCCCTATGTTGACCAAACTTGCATGGATGATACATCTAAGGATGCACACTACCGGGATTGCTTCGGATGCTGATTCTGACCTACATTTTCCGGTTGAGTGAACAGGTAAAAGTTTTTGGTGAAGGTTTCATTTCCAAGTAACTATGAGTTCTTTAATGACCAAACTTGCATGGATGATACATCTAAGGATGCATACTACCAGGCTTGCTTCGAATGCTGAATCTGACCTACTTTTTGTGGATGAGTGAAAATATTAGTTTTTGATGCATGTTTCATTTCCAATTAACTATGAGCCCTATAATGAGCAAACTTCCATGGACGATACATCTTAAGATGCACACTAATGGACTTGCTTCGGATGCTGAATTCGACATACATTTTTCAGATAATAGACCAGGTAAAAGTTATTGTTGCAGGTCTATTACCAAAAAACTGTAAGGCTTATATAACATTGTATAAACCAAACTTGCACAAATGTTGCATCAAGAGATGAAAACTCTCAAATTTGCTTCAGATGCTGAATTTTGATTACATTTTCATGAAGAAGAACTAGTTTAAATTTTTTATGTAGGTCTATTTCAAAGTATCAGATCAAAATTGCTTAAATATTTTCATTTTTGGAATGTACACTTTTTGTTGGTTAATGGTGTGACTTTGCCTTACTTAAAGACAACATTCGTTGAGGTGAGCTCTGTAATCTCTGATTACCTATGTTTGTCTGTTGTTGCAACAATAAACATGCATAGTAGAGATCCCGCCGAGGATTATTTTCTATCCGCGCCTGATCTAGTAATAGTATCAATAGTGCAACAGACTATACTATTTTATGCACAATGTTCCTTGAAAATGGCTCGATATGCTAAGTTTTTATGCAAAACAGACACCCATTTTTTTTTTTTAAAAAAAACCCATGGTATTGCACAACACAAGAATCAAACATGGCCATGATTTTATTAAGCAACTCAATTAATGTTTATATTTTCAACCACTCTACACGTGGTTGAACACGAACGATTAAAAAAGCTGCCACTTCCAGTCATGGGCAGGGATTTATTTAAAAATATACATCAATTTTTATTACCATTTCATTTCCTGCCATTATACAGTCAGTGTAACAATAAAAACATTCATTTCAGCTCTGAACTGAACAGGCATCTGAGTAAAATACAGCTCTGAAAGAATATCGTAAAATGGAATTTCATCCTCGAGCTACGGTTATGCAGATACTATGGAATCATTGGTTCCCAATGAACAATGATGATTCCACAGTAGGTGGTTGTACTGATCACTTGGAAGAAGTTGGAAGGCTAGGATAACACAGAGAGCACTGACTAGTGCGTTATACATCATGTACATAGAGGATATTCAATGTTTTGTAGCTGAATATGGAATTTATTTCACGAGTGGGACAGGATTTTTGATATTTTCACGAGTGCGAAGCACGAGTGAAAATATCAAAAAATCCTGTCACACGAGTGAAATAAATTCCATATTCAACTACAAATCATTGAATTTTCTGTTTATTACATTTCTAAATAAAAATTCTTTGATTTTTCCTTTGCCTCTGTCTTTTTGTAATACAGTCATAGGCTCGTGACGTCATAGTTGAGCGGTTGATACGTCATAGCTATGTGAAGTGAAAACACTGTAAACATGGATTTAGAAACATAATTTTGGTAATTTTGACATTTTATTCGCTGTCAGAATGTTTTATTTATTTCCATCTATCTTATAATAGGTCAAGAAAGATTTTTTTTACAGCAATCTTCGTTATTGGAAGAGAAATCGAGAGTTTTCCTGCACTTCTGATATTCGTCACACTGTGACAGGATATCATTTTGATATCTTTTCACACTGTGACAGGATATCATTTTTATTCAATGAATAAATTACAGTATTTCACGGGTAAAAATGTAATAAATTGTCATACTACATATGTATGGATACACCCACTCCACTGTAAAGCTAGCTAAAAAATGTTTAGCATTTTGTTTCTATATAGCATGACTAAAATTTAATGTCAAACTATCATGAAAAGAGATTAAAAACATTTTTTCCTTCATTAGAAACATGTTTTGTTTAATTTTTCAAGGTAATAAATACAAGTAGTAAGGTAAATCCCTACCAAACAGTCTAGAATTACATAACATTTCACTGACAAAGATATGCATTAAATTATTATAATATTCATATATTTCAAGTTTCATTCTGATGTAGTATGCAGATTGTATGAAAAATATATCTGATTTTAAATACATTTTCTAAATCATAATACATGCAACATTTTAAAACATTTATACATTTACAGTCAAACTTTGTTATCTCAAACTTGACAGGACTTGGAAAAGCTTCAAGATATCAAAGGATTCAAGATAAAAAGGCATATCAATGGTTATTGCATTCACTTGAATTTAAACTGGGACAGTTTACAATTTTTTTAAAAATTTTATGATAATTAAAATGTTAATTGTTCTATTCCAGTTACTATACATTTTTGCAAATTTTTCTAGCTATCAATTTTTCTTCTTCTATAAATGAATTTTCTTAAATTCATTAATAAATACGAAAAAATTAAGCACAGGTTGTACTGTGCGCGTCGATCAAACAAGTTCGCGCATCACCAGATCTGGTCGAGTGTCCAAGCCAGTCCAGAGACTGAACTTATGACTTGTATATTTCGTAACTGTGTTATTGTTGGTTAATGCATGATAACTGTGACTTGGGGATAAATTACATGCCTGCACAAAACTACTTGCTTAACTAATAGCATGATACTTTGAAAGAATTAAAAACATGGAATGAACAAAACAAGTACATAATCAGCATTACATTATTTACATTTTGTACCATAATTTGCATATACACTACTTCTAAACACAGCACCTTCAAAATATATCCTGAAGATCTGATGTTACCCAAGGATTTAAAGGATTTTCCTCTGTAACATGGCAAGTTTGATGAACGCCTCTATGATATATTCTCTATCCTGGGTTTTCAAATAGTCATATGGTTTTGAAACCTTCAACGTTGGCCGATCTCCACTTCTGTGCTTCACATTACCTTCTACAATGTCATTGTATTGTTCCACACTCATTTCCAGCACAGTAAACGTCACCTACAAAGTGACCAAATATAAAAATCAGCATCATAAAGAACAATGCATGCTAAATTTGCTTTGATAAATCTCAACATATTTAAGAGTAAATTAAAATCAATAATGATCATCTCAGTAAGATATTTCTTGAGAAAAACATAGGCAATCACAGATTACAAAGCGCACCGAGACAAGGCATCACCTTTATGAGGCATCACCTTTATGAAACCACCTTTATCATAATATATGAAAATCACACTTTGTGATCTTGGATATTCATGGATACTGTTTTGACACAATATCGTATATCATCAGTTAAAACATTGTATGATATTCATGTGTTCATTTCATACAGTATTATAAGATACAATGTTTATCAATTATACAATAATATAAAATATGATATTGCATCATATGATACAGTAAAATACTAATTAATAATATAAATACAATATTGCATCCTATCATATCAACAATATGTATCATATAAATTAATACAATAAAATACCGCAATAAATAACAAGAGGCCCATGGGCCACATCGCTCACCTGAGCACTGTGGCTAGGAAAAAGTAGATATTGGTTTATTATTGAAAAGTTTAAATCCAAAAGTAGTCCCATGACCAATCATGGCTTTGCTATTCTTGAGAAAAAGATTTTTAAAGAATTTTCCCATATATTTCATGTTAAACTTTGGTCAGCCATTGTGACCCCGCCCTACCCCCGGGGGTCATGATTTGAACAAACTTGAATCTACACTACCTGAGGATGCTTCCATATAAATATGATCAATTATGGCTTTGTTATTCTTGAGAAGAAGATTTTTAAAAAAATTTCCTATATATTTCTATGTAAAACTTTGGTCGGCCATTGTGGCCCTGCCCTACCCCCGGGGGTCATGATTTGAACAAACTTGAATCTACACTACCTGAGAATGCTTCCATATAAATATGATCAATTATGGCTTTGTTATTCTTGAGAAGAAGACTTTTAAAGAATTTTCCTATATATTTCTATGTAAAACTTTAGTCGGCCATTGTGGCCCCGCCCTACCCCCGGGGGTCATGATTTGAACAAACTTGAATCTACACTACCTAATGATGCTTCCATATAAATATGATCAATTACGGCTTTGTTATTCTTGAGAAGAAGATTTTTAAAGAATTTTCCCATATATTTCTATGTAAAACTTTGGTCGGCCATTGTGGCCCCGCCCTACCCCCGGGGGTCATGATTTGAACAAACTTGAATCTACACTACCTGAGGATGTTTCCCTATAAGTTTCATCTTTCCTGGCACAGTGGTTCTGGAGAAGAAGATTTTTAAAACATACCACCAAATTTTCATTAATTCCCAATTATCTCCTCTTGAATAAGGGCGTGGCCCTTTATTTGAACAAACTTGAATCCCCTTCACCCAAGGATGCTTTGTGGCAAGTTTGGTTGAAATTGGCCCAGTGGTTCTTGAGAAGAAGTCGAAAATGTGAAAAGTTTATTTATATTTAATTTATGACATTGTATCATGTTATACATTATTGTATTTGATCACATAATACAATATCATAATATATTGTAAATGATACGATGTAGTATTATACAATATCATATCACATAATAGATCGCAATATTGTAACATACAGGGGTGTCTCTAAAAATTGAAGTAGAAGGAGGAAATGAAAAAGTAGAAGGGGGGTCTGGGGGTCTTGCTTATTGCTACATTATGTTTAAAATGCAAAAATAGCCGGGTAATTAAGGCATCATAGGCGGGGGAATTCCCCGCCTCCCGGGTCTTAGAGACAACCCTGAACATTTGATATGATATTGTATATAATATATTATACAATTATTGCTGTTTTTTGAGGTCAATACAATGATTTAGCCATCTGAGGAGTGCAATATTCACTGAGCCCGAAGGGCGAGGTGAATATTATACTTCGAAGATGGCTAAATCATTGTCTTGACCGAAAAAACAGCAATAATTGATTTATTATATGATTCACTGATAAAATAATACATCTCATTACTTGTTTGCATTTAATTAAGTCCTAGCCAAATACAAGAGAGAAGCAGAATTAAAATGTGAATAAACCTTACCAGTCGTATCAATTTGAAATGGATTTTTTTTATCAATTTTAGTTGCCATGAAAAAATATATAATGTCAGTCTTTTTTATAGGATAGATTTTGAAAGGAAGGAGTATTATAAGGAAAAAATGACTGCCAAAAAATTAAAAAAAATTGTTGTTCAGTAAAAGTGTTGGAGGGGGGTCCCTGCATCCCCTCTTACCACCCTCACCCTAAAATATATATTCGTTTATGTTTTGTTCACATGAAAAAAAAAAAACATAGTCGTTTAAATAGCTTTCCAAAATAATTTGTATCAATTTGGAATTTCCCAATTTATTTTTAGATCAATGTAGAGGAAATAAATCCTTGTATTGACCTGGAACGTCACGTGCAGGTCAATACAACATAGTATTTTTCTAACATAGTTGGATCTCAGCCAATCAGAGAAATGGAAATTATTCAATCATATAATAATATATATTATATTTATAATATAGTATGATATTCTATTGTATGATACTGTATCATATTTGATACATAATATGATATGTATCATATGATACAATATCATGTAATATAGTAAAATATTATACAAATATTGACTGGGGTTGAGGGCAATATTGATTATATTAGCCCCAGAGGGACGAAATATTGCCTGACGCAAAGCAGAGGGCAATATATTTGTCCCAAGGGGGACACACCATCCATTCAAGTTTGGTGAAGTTAGGACCAGTAATAACTAAGATATATTTTTTAGCATCCTTGATATTGGAGATCAAGCTCTGCATCTTAAGTTACCTCTGCGATTCATTCATATTATAGTTTAAGGTGGAATAACACACCTGGACAAAGTCACACAAATTAACAGTAAATTATTTGATTATAAAAGATATAATGATAAATAAACTGTAAATATGTCAAATGATCGAAAAATTTGCAGTTTGGGGATAAAAAATGAATATCTAAAAAATTCAATTCAGTAAGTAAAAATAAAAGCCCTGCGGGAGTTCGAACTCAGAATGTACGGATCACAAGCCCAACACGTTATCCACTGAGCTATGGAGTAAGTTACATATTTTCGTCAATAAAATCATTTTAAAAAAAGAAATATGGTTTGTTTACATAGGTTCAATATACCAGTAAAAAATCTTTCTAAACCAGATTTGTCTATCTTTTTATTTATTTCAAGCAGTATTACACAATTCCTAATGTTTAACACATTCATTTTAGGTTTTAAAGTGGAATTTTCACTTTAACATTTAAATTGTAAACAAATGCTTTGTTTACATAGCAAAGAATTTCAAGCTCTGTATCTTGCTTATAATTCAACGAATTACACTCAACTTTCGGTTGCTTATTAAGAATGCCTTCCTAAAGCATTGTAAATATTAAACTTGGAAAAATAATTTTTGACCAAAATCATGACCATGCCCCTTGAAACATGTGATCTGTTCCAAAAAACATAACCTTATCCAGCATCCGAAACCTTTGGCTCAGATTCAGCATTCAAGCCTGTCAGGTGAATCAGTATCATATAAGACTCACCATCCATGCAAGTTTGGTGAAGTTAGGACAAGTAATAATTAAGATATCATCATCAGAGGGCACCTGTTTCAAAAACTTTAACCAGCTCTTAAAACCTTAACTTCATCCAGCATCCCAAACCTTTGGCTCAGATTCAGCATTCAAGCCTGTATGGTGTATCAGTATCATAAGACGCACCATCTGTGCAAGTTTGATAAAGTTAGGACCAATAGTAACTAAGATATAATCATCAAAGGGCACCTGCTCCAAAAACTTTAATCAGCTCTAAAAACCTTAACCTCCTCCCGCATCTAAAATTTAGGACCCAGATTCAGCATCCAAGCCTGTCTGGTGCATCAGTATCATAAGACGCATCATCCATGCAAGTTTGGTAAAGTTAGGACCAGCAGTAACTTAGATATTGCTATCAAAGGGCATCTGCAACAAAAACTTTAACTTGCAACAGAAACTTTAACTTGCTCCAAAAACCTTAACCTCCTCCAGCATCTGAAATTTAGGACTCAGATGCAGCATCCCAGTCTTTCAAGTCCATAAGTATTAAGTAGGTCCAGATACATCATCCATGCAAGTTTGGTGAAGATAAGACAAGTAATAACTTAGATACTGGACCTGCAACAAAAACTTTATCCAGGTCCGGACGCCAACGCAGAGGCCGAGGGTATAGCATAAGCTCCACCTGACTTCGTCTCGGTGAGTTAAAAAATTCTCATAAGGAAATATATCAAATTATAAAATAAATTAGCGGCTTTATTTGATTTTTTTTGACCTTGTATTCATTTGATTTAATTCAAAGGTGCACAGTCACAACTTTAACTGTACATTTCCAAATCTTATTGTTTTCATTTTCAATGCTTATTATGCAAGTTTCTTTGGTAATATCACTGGTCAGCCAAAATGTTAGTTGTCAAGCTTTAAGGAAGTGTCACATTCAAATTTGTTTAAAATAGTACCCTCTATTCAGTTAGCATTCAATGTGTAAAAACCGGGGTAGGTAATCAGATTACAAATCTCACCAAGACGAGGCATCACCTTTATGAGACCACCTTTATCATTTTATATGAAAATCATAGTTAATGATCTTCAATATTCATGGATACTGTTTTGACAAAATATTGTATATCATATATTATTTATCTTCCATTTAAAGAGGGCTTTGCCCTTCATTAAAGCCATTTAAAATTTAAGAATCCTTTGTACCAAGTCTGGTTTAATTTGGCCTAGTGGTTCTAGAGAAGAAACAAATAATGTGAGAAGTTTACAGCAAACTGACTGACGACGGACAACAGGTGATAAGAAAAGCTCACTTGAACCTTTGGCTAAGATGACCTGATGATGCCTGGAAACCAAAAGATCTATAAGTATCAGCACCAATTATGATGGAAAATGTAAATTGAAATATTTTGTATAAAAACAACTGCAATGTAGTGTTGATATCGAGAAAAGTACCAGCTCTACATTTGCAGGCAAACGAGTGTCTTATGCTCCATGCTTTCGAATGACGCCGGTGAAACACTGATATTCAAATCACCAGCACCAAATCATAGGTGATCATATAGAAATACAACACCAAGAAACTTATTTTTTAACAAGAGGCCCAGGGGCTACAACACTCACCTGAGCAACAATAGCATTAACTCTGATTAAATTAACTTTATGGTTTCAAATACAGAATTTATGGACAATTTAGAAGATTTAGTAGATCTTATTCAAACATGTTAAAAAAGATTTTAAATTTTTTTTCACCCCACATTCTAGAGTTATACATTAAGCCTCTCTTGTGATTCAGTTTTTGAAAAAAAAGCCAGTGGTTCTGGAGAAGAAGTCGAAAATGTAAAAAGTTTTAAGATAGACAGAATGATGAACCATAAACAGAAAGTGATCAGAAAAGCTCATGTGCTCATGAGCTAAATATAAATTAATATGAATGATGAAGTCTAGTGACCTAAAATTAAAGGAAATTAATCAGACCTGTGTTTCTTGCACAACTAATCCAAATATTTTTCCTTTCTTTATTGTGTCTGAAAAATGGAAAAGAAGGTCCCCTCCATGCTGGCCAATGATTTTATCATCAAGATGCAGAACAGTTTTGCGGTGTGCAGCCTCTGTATTAGTTGATGACAAAATTTGCTCTGCTGAGTCTTCAAAATTGATTTTTATTTTTGTATGGGTTCTGCTGCTCAGTGGTGAATAACTTTGGTTTAGTTTTGGACTGTCTCTTTTGACCTAAAAAAAAAAATAGTAATTATAACCAGAAGTCTCTGTCGAGACTGAAGCTCTACTGGTTTGTACTTATAGCAAAAGAAGAGAAAAGTACTTAGGCAGTTGGGAATTGAAACTTTTCAACAGCAATTAATAGAAAAATGATCCTTGATTAAGTCTCTTTATGTTTTAGTGTAGTCTACTTGCATGCCACATTACATTATAATCAGACTAAAACTGTATTTGGAGTAGCATTTTGAGTGTATTAAACAGAAATTTCTATTTTTAGTAACCATGGCAACACCGTTCATTGAAGTGAAAAACTATACACAGAATTATGTACCTTAGTGTAGTCTACTTGTGTGCCAAGTTATATTGAAATCAGACCAAAACTGTAGGAGGTGTAGCATTTTGAAATAATTTCACAGAAATTTCTATTTTTAGTAACCACAGCAACACCGTTCATCGAAATCAAAAACCGATAAACAGAATTATGTATCTTAGTGTAGTCTACTTGTGTGCCAAGTGACATTGAAATCAGACGAAAACTGTAGGAGGAGTAGCATTTTGAAAGAATTTCACAGAAATTTCTATTCTTAGAAGCACGTCAACACAGTTCATCGAAATCAAAAACTGATAAATAGATTTATGTACCTTAGTGTGTTCTACTTGTGTGTCAAGTTATATTGAAATCAGACCAAAATTGTAGGAGGAGTAGCATTTTGAAAGAATTTCACAGAAATTTCTATTTTTAGTAACCACGGCAACACTGTTCATCGAAATCAAAAACCGATACACAGAATTATGTATCTTAGTGTAGTCTACTTGTGTGCCAAGTTATATTAAAATCAGACCAAAACTGTAGGAGGAGTAGCATTTTGAAAAATTGTTTACAGACGGACAGACAGACAGACAGACGGACGGACGACGGACGCATTACTATCGCATAAGCTCTTCTGGTCTCTGACCAGTAGAGCTAAAAATGGCACATTGCTAACTTTATTCAGGCAGAAAGATAATAACTGGTTACAAAATCACTAATTATTAGCTTAAGTTGAAAAAACAATCAAAATATTGATTGTATTGTGGTTTAATGTAAATCTATATAGTTTGAAAATGCATATGTGAATTGGTTTCACAAAATTACTTACTACAACATCAAAGAAAATTAGGATTTCCACCTTTTATGTAAAAGATGTTTTTGTATTTCTTATGTTTTTTATTATTATTATTATGGGTTTCCATCTTTTGTTCACTTTTCTTCATCATTAAGGACTTTTCTTTCCAACAGAAGACCTTTAATATTGTTTTCGTTCAGTTTTTTTCCTTCCGTATTCTTTTTTTTATTACAAATTTTATGTATGCGATTTCTCAAAAACTACAAGACCAATTTACATGAAATTAAATACAACAAAATATTGACCCAGCGAAAATATAGCCAGGGCTTCTACAGTACAGTGAAGTTGCCCTTAATGAATCGTTCCCATTAACGAATCACTTTCATATAAACAATTCGATCTGTATTTTTCTTACCAGGGAACAATACTTAGCTTAACCTATCCTGTCATGCTGAGTTATTCACACTTTTGTCATTTAACATGAAATTATTAACCAGAAGTCTCTGTCAAGACTGTAGCTCTACTGGTTTGCACTTATAACAAAGGATGAGAAAAGAAGCCATTGCCATCAGACCAAAACTATAGAAAGAGTAGCGTTTGAAAGGAATTTCACAGACATTTCTATTTTTAGTAACAATGGCAACACTGTTCATTGAGATCAAAAACCGATGCACTTTTTTATATATCTAAATGTAGTCTACTTGTGTGCCAAGTTATATTGAAATCAGACCAAAACTGTTGAAGGAGTAGCATTTTAAAGGACTTGCACAGAAAATTCTATTTTTAGTAACCATGGCGGCACTGTTCATCGAAATCAAAAACCTATGCACTATTTTATGTATCTTGGTATAGTCTATTTGTGTGCCAAGTAAAATTGAAATCAGATCAAAACGGTAGGAGGAGTAGCGTTTTAAAGGAATTTCACAAAAAATTCTTTTTTTAGTAACCATGGCAACACCGTTCATCGAAATCAAAAACCGATGCACTATTCTATGTATCTTAGTGTAGTCTACTTGTGTACCAAGTTATATTAAAATCAGACCAAAACTGTAGGAGGAGTAGCGTTTTGAAAAATTGTTTACAGACAGACGGACAGACAGAAGGACGGACGACGGACACCTTACTATCGCATAAGCTCTTCTGGTCTCTGACCAGTAGAGCTAAAAATCAACTTGTTCAATGTCGTAATTTTTAAACAAAAACGAACAAGCTTTTTCATGACACAGACTAGAAGCGTACATGCAGCAGACTACTTTCACTTTATGGTTGAGCTCTAATCTGAATGGTACGTTGTAGGTAAGCGAATTTAGTACAGATGTTTAATAAAATTATCTGTCTAAGAACACTGAAAGTGGCATACAATTTCTTAATCAGAGAATGATTCTATTAGCTAAAAAGTTGTATGTAGTTACGTTTCCAATAACGAATCACTGATGCAAGAGAATCACTAGATGCAGGGACCCTGTCAAAATTTATTTTTTCGCATGCAATTATATTTGCACACCTGTTACAATAAGATATAACAAATGTTTAAATGCACTTCATTCCCCTTTTGTAGAAAATTGCTCTACCAATAATGATTTAAAATATGCTTTGTTATTCCTGCAATAATAAAATTCATTAAAATAAAGGCAATGTTACTAGCCTAGAATAATTTTTTTCCTTACTTTTATTGACAATAAAAAATCATATGGACTTTCAGATATATGTCTCCCAAAAAAGTGAAAAATATAGGTGGTGGAAACACACCTACCCAGAAATCTGCAGCCAAAATAACAAAGAAATACAGAGGATGCAGAAAGAGAATTTCTCGCATTATCACCGGTGTTAGATCGGTTTGTCCTGTGTGAGACAGCAGTGTGAGATTTTTCTGTCTTACACTGTGTATTACTACGCCGTTTTAAATGTAAACAAACGTTGTCTGCTGTAGGGAAAGGCAAAATGGTGGATTGAGATTATTAATTAAGTAATTGTTTGCTTAATTAATTACAATTTATCATATTTTTAATTTAAAAAACTATCGTATGCTCTCATTTTGACTTGCACTATTTGAAGCAAGTGGAGGGATAAACTGAAAGTAATCTTTTGAACGTCATAACAGAAAGTTGTCAAACATAATTTTTTTAAGGTAATATAATGCGAAAAAAATAATCATTCATTATATACTCATGTGGGATAGTGAAATTCCACCTTGGGGCCAAGATTCACGGTCTAGGACTCAGCAAAGCCTCGTCCTAGACCGTGAATCTTGTCCGCTCGGTGGAATTTCACTATCCCACATGAGTATATACAGACCCTGAAACGTGCTACTACACCAGTTCCACGGTTCGGTTCGTTACGCTTTTTGAACGGTACGTTTCGCTTTGTGAACGGTACGGTTCGTTTTGTGAATGGTATGGTTTGCTTTGTGAACGGTAAGGTACGCTTTGTGAACGGAACGGTTCGCTTCTTGCACGGTACGCTTTGCTAAAAAGAGCTGCACGCTTTGTGAATGGTTTGCGCGCTTTATTAATGAGGTAGGCCTGGCCTGAACGCTTTGATTTTTCTCGATTTAATTTCATTTAGTTTTTGCCCGGTCTACTCCAACAAGGTGGTAATTATGACATACGATAATGAAATGTTTTGTTTATTTATATGATATTTTACAAATGTATTTCAATCTGTTTGAAATCAGAACTTCCATCCGTTCCCCTGTTTTTTGACAACCGGGAAGCGGGGGTAATTTTTATTTTGATTAGTCTGTTATCATTAGTATTTAATTTTTGATAAATGTAATCATTAAGATCGATTAAAAGAATTGTTTGACTTTAATCCGATATATTTTTGTTAATTCAGCGAGCTGTCGATGATTTTACAAAGCATCTTAAGTTTTCATTTCCATACATGTACTTGAAATGAAGTCATTAAATATTTCTAATCCATTTAAAATTGCTATAAAAAATTGCCCCGAATTTATTCCGATATTTCTCAATTTTCCTTAATCGTTGTCTTGATTCTTGGCTAGTTGTTATATTTACAAGCATCTTTCCTTTTCTTTATTCATAATTTGTATGATCATTCTTTATTGCGTACTACTGTAGTACTATTGCCGATCAAATTCCCATAGTGAATAGACGATGTAAAATTACAAGCAGTTAATGATAAGATAAACAATGAATTTCAGATAAGAAATCTTGAAATCAACAGTTACATAGTTTTTTGACACGAATTTTTATTCATTTAAATATTGATTCTATGATTTTCTGCACTTGTTCGTATACACAGATCATACCTACATGTAACCCGTCATGGCTTCTCTTATCTGAACTAAGATCGCGTGTATAGTCAAAATATGACTATTAGTTTTTGTTTTTCCATTAAACTATACATGTACATGTAACATATTTCTTATATTATACTTTCATGTAAATTAGTTGAATCTGATTGGTCGAGAAACTTTTGCTAAAAAACACTACTACCCGCTGAATAATGAAGCCACGCCCTCCAGCGTAGCAACATTCAACATTGCTTGACGACGGGTGCTATTCCAAAAAATAGTGACATTAAAATCTGTATTAGTGTATGACATTTGTTGAGAATATCTTGAATAGTTTCTTAAAAATTGAAATCTTAAAAAATATATATTTTATAGATTATAAAATCCCCTTAAAATAATGCATAAGCTTACATAAAAATATTCTTCAAATCTGAGCACCGCAGCTCTCAAAAGTGTGTATCAGCATATGAAGTTGAGTAGAAATATAAATGCTTTCTTCAAAACTGATCTAAATACTAACTTAAATGAAGTGAGATCAAGGTTACAGGAGAGGTCAAAGTAAAAAAAAAATACTGATGCAGTTGAACAGCTTACATCATTATGTATCACCATAAGAAGTTTGAATACTCAGTCTTGAATGGTTTGTTTCT